GGGGGGGGGGGGGGGGGGGGTCGAAACGATCGCAAAGGCGGTATACTACGTATACGCGCCAAAAAGGCAGCTTTTTCATCGTCATCTGCCTGAGGGCATCATTTCCCTATCCCCAATTTTAAATCAATTAAATGGCAAAAAGTTCAAGACTCTTTGTATGTAAATACTCCACAGCGATTGGATTTCATTATAAATGAATGAGATTGCAAAGAAAACTTTTTCCCTAATGAAAAACATGTGAAGGACCATGCATATAAAACCATTGAAAAAACAATAGAAAAGCTTCAATGTCAGATGACTTAGCGACTGAAAGGAGTGAACTAAATTATTTGATTATGAATTGAAGAATTACTAATTTAATTATTATTTGACCATAAGTACTTCAATATGTTAGATTTGATCCCGTGTGTTCGTGTGCAGCGTCATTACAGCGTTCCCGTGCGTAATTTCTTAAAACCGTAAACTCCAGCTAGAGCGTATTGTGCGCTGTGTTATGCGGAAAAGTCGCTAACTCATTTTCACCCGAATTATCGGTTCAGCGTTGTTGATACCTAGTCCTGACAATCTTGCATAACTTTATACCTAATTTATCCTTCAGCTAGAGTACTTTGTGCTTGCAGATGAGGCAAAGTCGCTAATTCATTTTCGCCAAAAAGGCCAGTAAAATTGCACTCAAAAGGCTGCTATGTCGAACACATCTCATCGTCAGTTAGGCGATACTATATCATACTCCTGGCACAGCAGTCCACTCAGTTTTTCCTCCATTCCTGGTATAATTTTAAGCGTAATTTTTACTTATAGATGAGGGTAAGTTGCTAACTCATATTCGCAAAAATTGGCAGTAGAACTGTACTCAAGGGCTGCTACGTCGAACATATCTCAACGTCAGTAAGAAAGTATCGTTCACTGGAAAAAAAAACACATTGGATCTAGAGTCCAGACTCTTAAAAACACCGACAAGAAAAATTACAATTGATTCAATCAGAATTAAGCTTAAGTCCAGAACCAAGCCTCTTAATTTGAGCGGATTTCCTTCAGATTTAAACTTAAATCTGATTGAATCAAGAGTCCATTTTCTTGTCAACGTTTTCAAGAGTCTGGACTCTAGATCCAATGTGTTTTTTTTCCAGTGCGGCATAGCTTTCTCATCGGTTTGAACTTCACCCAGCGTATTCGCAGGACAATGACGCACCGAAACAACACTCGAATCGGCAGCCCTGGCCCACTCTCCAAATCGCTGATCCATCAGCGTAAGGCCGTATCTCAAATTCCACGTGACCCCTGTTCCCGTCTAACTCAACGCATGCTGGGGCTCGTGTAAAAACATAGATACGCCCTTCCGTCCGGGGGGCGACGAAATGTCCCTGCTGGAGTGGCTCACCGCGCCGGTCGGCCGAGAGCGCGCGGAGGTTAGTAATTCGGGTAATTCGCGGTGGGACCCCCGCCCCCCCCCCGCCCCCTCCCCCACCGCGGCGTCGTAACAACCTGTTCATATTTATTACGCGCGTATATAACTCCGAGTTTAAAACATCGCACCTTCCGTTTGAACCGCCCGCGTCCCCTCGCTAGACGCGACCTACACCCTCCGCCCTCCGTCCACGAGGGAGTTGTCGCTCCGTGCCCTTTTCTGGATCACCCTGTTGCCTCGACTCGAGGTAACCCGCCCACCGCGGACCGAGGTAGAGTCGGCTTGTCGCGAACTTTTGCCCGAGCGAAATGAAGGGATCCTTCGCTGGGAAAAAGAATGGTTGGAATTGGACCGCGTGGAGAGGAACCAAGCCGCATTCCTAGACCAAGCTGAAGGGTAATCGAAAAGGATCGAGGTCCTTCTCTCACTATTGTTCAATTTATTTATAGTGTTGTAAATAGGAGAATTTTTAAAACTGACATATACCTTATAAGTGAAGAAATCTGCCTCTGAATTTCAATGTTTTACGAAAGCTAATTGAAGACTAGAGCCACACAATACACAACAAACCCACACAAGGGTGTTTGTGTGAGACAGGGTGTGTAAGGGTGAGTTTGCGTGCTTTTGGAAATTCCTACGGTGCGAACACGGCTATTCGGTCGAACACATCATGCAATTCGAGATCTTTCACTTGCGAGTTTCAAACACACAAAGCCCAGAATTTGTGTTTTTACGGGATACATTCCCAGTGGTGCAAACACGGCTATATAATCGGTCGAACGCATCATGCGATTCGAGATCTTACACTTGTGAGTTTTAAACACACACAGCCCAGAATTTGTGCGTTTACGTGCTTTTAGAGATTCCTATGGGTACAAACAAGGCTATTCGGTC